CGTGGAAAACAAGAGTGGAGACAAATGTTTTTTTTGCTGTTAGAAACGCCCCGTCTCATCAAGTGGTTTGAACCACTGAGGGATTTTTATCCAAGAACCGTACTTAACTTCTTTAAAATGCCCGCATTTCCCCGATTTACATGAAACTAAGTAATTGAATGTGGTCCATCGGCATATTTTTGCGATAAATTATGGTTTATAATATCCAGAGTTAAGTGGTTCTGCCACCGAGATAGCTTTGTTAAGCAAATGGGAACACCAACGGAACATAACATAACATAGCCTGCCCAAGAACAGAAATCATCATAAAAGGTATACTTTAATATTGATTGGCATACAATACCGACAAGTTTGATTAGTAAGAAACACATGGGTATCTTTATGCCTAAACATTTCGTATGTGTTGTAAATGTGCCCTATTCCTCAACATGCCGTGGGTTGCGCTTAGTTTTGATTATACTAATAATGGAACATGGTGTATTTTATGACGTCTATAACCTTGAGGCAATTTTTTTGATTTTCCGAAGCATAAGCGCCAATAGGCGTTTAATGTGTCGATATAGTCAAAAATGTATTTGACAATAGGATAGAACCAAGAGTTTCCCAATCTGGCGCATGTGCGGATGTGTTGGGGGTAATAGGTCAAGCTGGGCAGCAGGGGAGGCGGGAGTGTTTTTGAAATTAGTGAGGAGGCGGGAAAGCATGGAACCAGGGAAATTGGTGTTCACGGCGGCACCTAAGGATAATATAGTCCCTCCTTTCATAATAGGAAGTGTCGTAGCTGTGTCCAGGTGGCGAGTGAGGGAACGTGCATTCACGGACCACCGTAAATAAGGTTGGTAAAAATAGTGAATAATGGTTTGACTCCCCGGGTGATGACTGGAGCGCGGCCCTGGGTGTGTCCAGGGAAATCCCCGTGAGTTAATCCTCACTCATCGGCCTCAGATCTTAATGGAGTGATCTCTAATGGTATAATAATTATGATGACATTAAATTCGTCTGGTGAATTGTAATGTAATTAATGACAATAATGCTAAGTTAAATAGAATGCGTGAATTAAATAAGTCGCCATGCACCGAAGTGATACACGTTGACCTCGTTGCACCTGTGATCGAGGAAATTGAAGATCATTGAATCACGCATCAAACCATGACAAACCAACGGATACCTTCGTCCTGGCTGGTATGAGAACCGTGTCGGTGTAAGCAGTGACATCGAAAATGAGAAGGTGAATGAGGAAAAAAGGAGTATCAATCACCACAGTAAGTAACCCTTCTAGTTAATACAGACTGATACTGGCCAGTTAGTGTATGTTGTAATTTGATAGGTTATGGGTGATTCTCAGCTACTCAAGTGACCACCAGAGAATATCTGTAAGTGAGAATTAATGTAGCAAGTGTTTTCCTTGATGGATATATCCATGTGGTAACCTACCCCACCCGCCCATTCATTCAGTTACACTAATAATAATCTATACAGTCCAACAATTAATTATTAGTCACCGTATTTGTGGGTGCTATCCAATCCATACTAGTCTCAGATAGATATGGATAAGATTGTGAGGTCGAAGGAACCACTTGGCGTGACCAGGTGTGGTTTAAGTTTCTCACATCTCTACACGGGTGACTAACGGTAAACAATATGGTTTGTCTCCCAATGAGATTACTTGTAGTATATAATGTTTGAGTACATACAGGGTAAGCACCTAGAAGATTTTCCACAACTGCCCTCTTGGTCCTTCGAACCGGATGCTAACAGTGAAAAAATTAATGAATTAAATACTTATAATTAAGTGCTGATTGAAGGAAGTGGGTATAGGGTACACAAAGTTTTAATCGATCGTGTGGTGGATGATAATTGAGCCCAATTAATTGCTAACACATTTGTGGCTAGGATATATACAAGAGTAAAATGTGCAAGAATTACTCTTATAAAGGCGCCTACGTTAAGTTGTAAAATCAGATGATAAATAATTTTCTAACCATGAACTGGATCTGATGGAGTTAATGGTCTGAACAAGTCCGTGGATGTTAGAGTAATGAAAGCACCATTACAGGCTATTAAAGGCCATGTACGAAGGCATTTGATTTATAAATCAAAGAACCGTGAACCCTAAATGAATTAAACTGTTATGATAGATGCTTTAAGAAGTAGATTTGATTGGTACAAATTGTGGTTTAAAGACTGGTGAAAAAGATCTGTTTGGAGAATTGTGCAGATCATTGAATAGAGAATGAATGTTTTAATTTAAATCAACATTACGAATTGGAAGAAAACCTGGTCTTGTAAAAGTAAAGGCTTTGAATAAAATTAAAAGGGTGAAAGCCAGGCATTGGATCACCTATTAATGCAAATGGTGGGTTTGCCAAAACCTTCAGAGTACGGTCTGGGAGGAAATCAGGCTAGGTCGGCAGGTAATAATTGTCAACTGCAGACCAGTCCAGTCCAGAAACAGTTCCTAAGGATATATCAACATAAACTCTGAAGTATCTGTCAAGTCCTCAAAAGGGAAAAATAATCCCATTGGTAATAATCATAGTCAAGAGTTAAATAGGCACATAATCAAGTGACAAGGAATCAGTAATAGTGGTTCCTCACATCAAGGTAAGAGGAATAAGTACCTCAGTAAGGGTAACCCAGTTAATAAGAGGTCAGGCAAGGAAAAGAGAGACTGCCTCTTCTGCCAGGGTACTCATTTCACTAAAAATTGTAATGCCTATAATTCATGGGATATTAAAGTGGAAAGAATGAAAGAACTTGACAGATTTATCAGATGTCTAGACAATCATAATGTAAAGGATTGTCATACCAAATTGAACATTTGCTATCAATGCAACAAGAGAAGGCACCATACAGTTATGTGCAGGGTTGTATGTGATTCTTATAATAATGGTGACAATAATGATAATGTTAATAACCCTGACACTACAGTGACTGATGTAAAGGTTGCAGCTAATGGCAATAATGATGGCCTAGCTGAGGTAGCCTTGCCGGCGTTGGATGTAATAATTCAGGATAAAGGGCATAAATCCAAAAGCATGCGGCGTCACTCTCCTCAACACTGGTACGGGCCATGTAATATATGGCAACTACCGCCTAGTAATAATGACTAGAGGAAGTAGTGAATACAGTCACGGTGTCTTGCTCATAAAAGGTCAACCCAGTACAAGTATTCTTCTATCGAGAATGATGTTGAACCAGTCTAATTTGTGGGAGCTGGACAGCATAGGGATTAATATAAATGAGGAAAGTCCAAATGATTCCTTTACTCAGGAACAATACCTGAAGGATGTTAAATGTGAATCTGGACATTACTGGTGTCGACTTCCGTGGAAGCTCAACCGTCCAGAATTATCTACTAATTATAGGATGGCGTATGGACAGTTAAGGGCCCAGCTCTGCGAACTGAGCAAGACACCAAAATTGTTGACTGCTTATAATGATAAATTAATAAATAGTTAAATAATAAATTGTTCTTACTTCAGGCGACGATAAATGCACACCTTAAGTGCCAACAGGTGGTCCACTGACGAAGTAATTGGGTAATAATCTTATGTGGACAATTTCCGGGTGTGACGTCAACTGAAGAGGAACTAATGAGGATATGTGAAGGGTTAATGAATAATGTAATGCTGGGGGCTGACTTGGGATACTGAGAGAGACTTGTTATTGTTAAAGTCTCATAATTCCAGTATGCCCAATAAATTAATCCAGGGAGCATAGGCTTATGCCCTGAGAGAATGGAACAGTAATTAGTCCATTTTGAGGGATCAATAAATATGGATGGCCATGGAGTTGGTGCCTATATGCAGTAATGTGTGGGGCTGACTTGGGATACTGAGAGAGACTTGTATTGTTAAAGTCTCATAATTCCAGTATGCCACAAAATTATCCCCGAGAGCATAGACTTAGTGTCACACCTTACAATAAGAGGAAATTGTTAATACCAAAGCATGGAGGCTTGAGTGTGCTTTGGATGGAGCCCTACCTGAGGTTAACAGTGGAAAGAATTAATGGGTGATTATGTAAATACCAATGTTGGAGTTCCCAAGCCAGGTGGCCAGTGAAGATGGGAAAATTGTAACTCCACATTATGTAAGTCGTCTAGCAACGACCTCCGCCCGGCCGCAGTGTGGAAATTTTTTGATTTTCCGAAGCTTAGCGCCTAATAGGTGTTTAATGTGTCGATATGAGCAAAAATGTATTTGACAATAGGTAGAACCAAGAGTTCCCTTTGCGCATGCGGATGTGTGGGGGTATAGGTCGACTGGCAGGGGAGGCGGAGTGTTTTGAATGTAGTGAGGAGGCTGGGAAAGCATGGAACCAGGAAATTGGCTTCACGGGGCCTAAGGATTTATAGGTTTTTAATGGAAATTTTTTAACTT